CAATCGGTAACAATGTCTTTTCCATGAATATCCGACTCTGAATTGCCCAAATCTAGCCAAAATCAATTACATACCATAAATATAACTATAAGAAATTAATCTATTTAATGAAATCAAAACTAAAGTAAGAAATTAGAAAATTACCCCAAAAAGTCGACCTGGGTCCACGTCTCGGAACAAGGTAAAAGTCACAAAATATGAACACCCATTTACTCACGAGTTCACTCGTACCAAAATTATCCAAATCTGATGTCAAAATCCCAATCAAAACCCAAAATATTGGTTAAAGAACGTCTTTCCATTTTCCCCAAATTTTCACCCCAAATCCGAAATTAAATGATGAAATTAATGATAGATTAGTGGGATATAACCAAAAATAAGTGAAGAATCATTACCCAATTGATGTCTCTGAAAATCCCTCAAAATAGCGTCCAAATCCAAGCTTCCAACTCAAGTTTTTGATAAAACTGGAAAAACCCTCGTTTTGAAATGATTTAAGTCTACCCACTGATTCCTTAATCGCGATCGCGGAAATAGCCTTGCGATCACGAAGAACCACTTCGCTGCCCCAGGATTTACCCCTACGCGAATGCGCAAAACACCAAGTGAACGCGATGTGCTGGCTTTCAGAGTAACGTGATCGTGAACGTCCTCACGCGTTCGCGATGAGCAAAGCGCGTGGCCCAGCTTTAGCCTCCTTAACTCTACGCGAACGCGACCTTGGCCACACGTTCGCGAAGCACCACTTCACACCACTACGCTTTCGCATCCTTATGCCCGCGAACTCGAAGAACAAAACTTCCTCTGCCCAGCTGAGCCTATACGGCGCGATCGCGTATAAGGAAACCAGATGCACCAGATCACAAAACTTCAGCCATTTCTCTAAGTCCAAAACGCATCCGATAATGATTTGAAACATACCCGAGGCCCCCGGGACCTCACCCAAAGATACCAACAGGTCCTAAAACACCATACAAACTTAGTTGAGCCCTCAAATCACATCAAACAATGCTAAAAACACGAATCACCCTCCGGTTCAAACTTAATGAACTTGAAACATCCAATTTCTACAACCTATGCCGAAACCTATCAAACCACGTCCGATTTACCCCAAATTTTGCACAAAAGTCATATTCAACCTTACGGACCTACTCCAGTACCGGTCAAATCTCTAAAAATTTGACTTTCTCCATTTCAAGCCTAAATGAGCTTAAGACCTCCGAAACACAATCTGGACACGCCCCTAAGTCCAAAATCACCCAACGGAGCTAACGGAACCGACGAAATTCTATCCCGGAGTCATCTTCACACAGTTCTGACTACGGTCAAAATTCTAAGGCTTAAGCTTCCGTTTAGGGACTAAGTGTCCCAAAACACTCCGAAACCCAAAACAAAACCTTCCATCAAGTCACATAAGCAGAAAACGATACGGGGGAAGCATTTAATAGGGGATCGGGGATATTACTCTCAAAACGACCGGCCGAGTCGTTACAACTAGTGACATAAACAGCAAGGCATGAAGAACACCATAAATATTGCTACAACCAATTAATCAAGTCCTTCAAAATATATATTTTTTCTCTATAAGTTTTCCAATTAATAATCTTTCGAAGGTAATCCTATCAATTAAATATATCCCGAATATACTTTCTCCAAATAAATATCTTACGAATTTAAATCATTCAAATAAATATCTCCCAATATGACTATTTCAAATAATTATCTTTCGTATATAATTCTCTTAAATAAAACCTTTCGAATATAATTCTTTCAAATAAAAACCTTTCCTTTCGAATATAATTATTTCAAATAAAAACCTTTAGATTATAATTCTTTTCAATAAAACCTTTCGAATAAAATTCTTTCCTTTAAAACCTTTCCTTTAGAATATAATTCTTTCAAATAAAAGCCTTTTGAATGTAATTCTTTTAAATAAATACCTTTCTTTTCGAATATAATTCTTTCAAATAAAAACCTTTCGAATATAATTCTTTCAAATAAAAACCTTTCGAATATAATTCTTTCAAATAAAACATTTTGAATATAATCCTTTCAAGTGAAATCACGGGTTGACACCTCAATTCAAAATCCTAAAAATCTCGGGTCTCAGCCCACTTTCATATCTCACGACACCTCGTGCCCATATTTCTATCCTAATCGTACGGGCTATTCATAAGACAAAAGACACAATAAATTAATGAAATGACTGAGGAGTGAACGACGAGAAATTTATAGAAAAGTAATAACACAGCACATAGAGGTAAATAACAGGGGCGCTCCCGAGGTATCGCCTCGTAAATTCAAATGTAAATGCTCAACATGGGGATCTCCCGAGGTACCACCTCGTATTCCCAAAAGTAAATATGCCAGCAGGGGGGAATCTCCTGAGGTACCACATCGTACTCCCAAAGTAAATATGCAAGACAGGAGGATCTCCCGAGGTATAGCCTCGTAGTCCCAAAGTAAATATGCAGTATAGGGGGATCTCTCGAGGTACCGCCTCGTAGTCCCAAAGTAAATATGCAGTACAGGGGGATCTCCCGAGTAAATGCCTCATAGTCCCAAAGTAAATATGCAGTACAGAGGGATCTCCCGAGTAAACGCCTCGTAGTTCCAAAGTAAATATACAGTACAGGGGGATCTCCCGAATAAACACCTCGTAGTCCCAAAGTAAATATGTAGAAGCAAAGACGGGAGAATCACTCAGCAAGAACAGCCTCTTCTCAAAAATCCAAATTTCTGATAAATATATTAACGTCTCCAATTAAACTTATTTAATACTTATTTGCAGATGGAATAATCCAAAATGTAATTATTTCTAGACAATGTCAACTCTACCAGCACACGAAATCCACATAAGGATCAAAGTAGCAATCATACCAAATTATCATATAAAACAAATTCGAGAAACAAAGAGCGAGGCATGACAAATAAGGATTTAATAAGCGCCAGTAAATTTCCAATTTAATACTTAAGAATTCCTACGACTTTAAACCAATACAATTTGCACATATAAGCCCGAGTACGTGCTCGTCACCTCACGTACACGGCTTTCACATTACTCAAATGGCATATACGACTTAATGCCAAAGGTGTAATTCCCCCACGCAAGGTTAGGCAAGATACTTACCTCTTTGAAGTTAGGCCAATATTCCAAAATAGCCTTCTTGCTTGAATTGACCTCCAGGCAGCTCAAATCTATCCAAATTAATTATATAACTTCATTAAAATTCATCAAAAATAATTTCGAACAATAAAAGTCAATGTGGGGCCCACCTCTCGGAACCCGATAAATCTTTCACGAAATCCAAACACCCATTCTGATACGAGTCCAACCATACCGATTTTATCGAATTCCAATAACAAATCGTCTTCCAAAATCTTGAATTTCCATGTTTGAAAAGTTTTACAAAAATCCCAATTTCCTCCATTAAAACTCGAATTAAACGGTGAATATAACCATAGATTCATGAAATATAAATACTTTTAGATATAGAACACTTACTGCAACCAAGCTTGTGAATAAATTCTCAAAATCACCCAAGAACCGAGCTCAAAATATTCCAATCGAAATGAAGAAATGACTGATTTTTGACCCCTTATGTTTCTATCCATTCTCACTTCTGCGGACACCTATGATGCATCTGTGGTCTCTCTTTTGCATGACAAAACTAGCATTTGTGATCCTCACTGCCTAGCCAAAAACTCGCATTTTTGGAAAGAATTGTGCTTCTGCAATGGTCATACGCGCATATGCGGGCGAGCCGCTTCTGCGTTCCCTCTTTGCGCTTTTGCGGTCACGCAGGTGCGTGAATTGCTTCGCACCTGCATCCTCTGCCCAGTACTCTCCCAGACGCTTCTTTGAAGTGCTTCATGCCTCTGCGATGTTGCTTCTACGACCAAGGCATCGCAAAAGTGATTCCACCAGTTGCTGCCCATTTTCCAGCAATATTTCTTCAAGTCCAAATTGCTCTGTTAACCATCCGGAATCAACCCGAGGCACTCGGGCCTTAACCAATTATGCCAACATGTCACAAAAAATAATACAAACTTATTCGAGGCTTCAAACCATGACAAACAATGCCGAAATTGCGAATCGCGCATCGAATCAAATTATGAGATTTCAAATCTTCCAACTTCTATAATTTGTGCCGAAGCATATCAAATCAATCCGGAACGACTTCACATTTTGCACACAAGTCATAAATTATACAATGGGATTGTTCTAATTTTCGTAATCGAAATCCGACCTCGTTATCAACCAATCAACTTACGGTCGGATTTATGAATATTTCAAGAACTTGATTTTCCAACTTTTTGCCGAAATGTGCCGAATCGTCCTACGGACTTTCAAATCCAAATCCGGATATACGCCTAAGTTTGAAATCACCATATGAATCTATTGACATCATCAAAATTCAATTCCGGAGTCGTTTGCTCAAATGTCAAACTCCGGTCAACTCTTTTCATTTAAGCTTCAAAAATAAGAATTGTTCTTTCAATTTAATTTCGAATCTTCCGAAAACCAAACTCAACCACACACGCAGGCCATAATACATATTACAAAGTTGACCAGGACCATAATTCACTGAACGGAATGTGAATTCTCAAAATAACAAGTCGGGTTGTTACAATATGTCATTACATATGTATATTGCAAGAATAGCTCTTTTCTCATCGAAACTTGTTGTTCAAGGTGCATGGATTATATGTATATAGTGTGTTTGAATTTTAATATTCAATGAAACATGACTGACTTTGATCTATTTGTGTAATTGTCTTGCAGATTAACCATGACTGCTTTCAATCCCCTTACTGCTATTCTTACTCAAAACAAACTTGAGGGTCCGCATTATGTTGATTGGAAACGAAACTTGGATATTGTCCTAATTGCTGAAGAGTCCAAATTTGTGATTTATGAGGTGTGTCCAAAAAACCCTGGAGTAGATGCTACAGATGATGAATAAAAAGCTAACCGAAAATGGGTTAAGGCTGATAAGATGGTGCACTGTTACATTCTGGCATCTATGTCGAATCTTCTGCAACATCAACATCAGTCTATGGAGTCTGTTTATGACATTCTGGTAAATCTCAAAGAGATGTTTGGAGATCAGAATTGTGCGGCTAAGCAGACTTTCATGAAAGCTCTTCTGAATATAAAAATGGTTGAAGGTTCATCTGTTACGGACCATGTTCTGAAGATGATGAGACTTCTGAATGGACTAGAGGTCCTTGGAGCTAATATGGATAAGGATACGCAGGTTGAGATGATCCTACAGACTCTGCCTGACAGCTTTCAGCAGTTTCACCTTAATTATAATTTGAACAAAATGGATTTGTCACTTGTGAAATTGCTGAATGAGCTGCAGTCGGCAGAGACTATTATCAAGCAACAAGCTCCCCTGTGTCACTGAATTTTGAGATAGTTTCTTCTTCTAAGCCGAGAGGCGGGTAGTTAAGAAAAAGACTCAAAAACCTTCTGTTGGAGGTGCAACTGATGGTGTGAAAAAGCCTAAGGGTAAGTGTAATCACTGCAAGAAGTTTGGGCATCATAAGAAAAACTGTCCGACTTATCTGACCAAGATGAATAATAAACCAGGTGATTTACATCTACTTATCGTTGAAATCTTTTTAGTGGTTGTTTCAACCATGTCTGCACTAATCATGTCTGCACTTTTTTGCAGGGGTTTCAGGTTAAGCGGCGACTAAGTAGAGGGGAAATCAATATTTATGAAGCAGATGGTTCGACAGTTGTATAAAGATCATAGCTTTGTTAATTGAAATTCTTTCCTCTTACATTGTTTGATGTATTTAAGTCGTCTTTGTCTAGATTGAGCCGAGCGGAGGTGAATTTATGAAGGAAACGCTAATTTGAGTATTGATTTGGCCAAATTGAGGTAAGTATCTTGCATAACTTTGTATGAGGAAAACTACCCCTTAGGTTTTGGATTGATGGTATTATTTGAATTATGTGGAGGGCGTGTACGCAAGGTGACGAATGTGTACATAGGCTTATATGTGGTATTTGACCGGTTTAGACTATTAGGCTTCTTTCATGCACTTAATTGAAATTATAGTTTCATGTTATATCTTTTGTTGTTAGGCTTGCCCTTACGTGCTTTACTTAAAGTTGTTAGTACATGTTCTATCTTTCGTTTGTCAAGTTCACCCTTATATGTTTTAATTGTTAATTGCAATCACTTGTCGAATACATGCCTTGTCTATCACATGCCTTCATTGTTAATTAATTCTCGAAAATTGTGTCTTGGTTTATGAATCGTCATTTCTTGCTATTTGATTTTGTGAGTTATCGTGTAACCTTTTTATCCATTGTGATTTCTTTGTGTAGCTTCGTTATTGCGTTGATTTTGTGACATACCGTAGTTGGTGTAATTTATTTGCTTAATTTATATTGCTTGGGGAGTGGGTTTCACGCCGCAACAATATTGATAATGTTGATATGGTAGAATAAGGGAGGATTATGATATTGATAAATGATGATATGGTGGGTTGCACGCCGCAACGGATATTGTTATTATTATGTGGGGTCGGGTTGCACGCCGCAACTGATGTACATGTTGTAATTGTTGTTATGTTAAGGTTATTCCCGGTTGTGATTCACATGGTACATTTTATGGTTAGGACGGTTTTTATTTTTTAAATCACTTCATTGTATTTTGATGGTATTTTGTTAACCGCCAGTATTCTAATAATGGAACGATTTTGACTTCTTGTGTGAGTCAGGCATTCTACGTGATATGTTGTGTTGCTTCAACATGCCAATTTGTGCCTCCATTATTTCTTGAAAAATTGATTTTCAAGGTGAATATATGTGCACGGGGTCATTATCTTATATCCGATTGAGTTGTTGAAAATTTAGCGGATTTAAATGAAAGAATTCTTAAGGTATTTTACTTGTGTGTCTTTCAAAAATAAAACTCGTATCTCATTCGGCGCTTTACTAATTTAAATGGTGATCACATTTTCACTTTAATTGGTTTCTTAAATTCTACTCATTACCTTATTGTTGTGTAATTTACTTAAAATTGTTATCACGTTTTATTTTAACAAATTCTATATTTAACTCGTTAAATTTAACTGATGTTTTACTTTGTTTAAATACAATATTCTACTTCATCTCATTTATTTCTAAACTAAGCTCATCTAATACTCCATTTGCACAACCTCTCCTTTATTTTACTTTATTTGAATCCTAAATTTAGAATAATATCTCATTTGATGCTTTACTTTATTCTAGTTTGAAATTGTGTTTTATTGTGTTAAATTTATTCATCGATCATCTTAGTTGATATTGATACGAATACGATGTACATGGTAGCTGTTGGATTTTGCTGTGCGAAAGTGATATGGAAAATGTGGGTATGAGGTGTCATACGTGTAAGATTTGAAAGTTGTGACTTATGATTTGAGATCACGACGAGTGGTACCTCGGGTAATTCTTGTTGTAATTCGTGCTTTAGGAATGATTTGATTGATTGAGTTGTCATCGGTTCTCCTTACTTGAATTCATTCATATTTCATCTGTATTCTAACTATGTTGTTGCTTATTACTTGGTTGTTTATTGTTGCCATTCGTGCTTCCATTATTTTCATTGTTGATTGTAAATTTGTAATCCTTCTGCTATTGGTCTTACACTGATGTTCTTTCCATTATTAGCTTTATGTTTTATCCTGCACAAGTTTACATGTCTGGTAGGTGTCTTGACATGTCCTCATCACTACTCTACCAAGGTTAGGCTTGATACTTACTGGGTACCGCTGTGGTGAACTCAGGCTATGCTTCTGCACATTTTTGTACAAATCCAAGTACTTCTGATCGAGTGGGTTTTGAGACTTATGTCTGCGCGGCTGGAGACTTCAAGGTATACATGCTCAACATCCGCATGCCCCGAAGTCACCTTCTATTGTATTTTATATCCACTGCCTAATATCAATCCGAGACAGTGATGTACTTGTTATTTCTAGTTACTCTTATAAAACCTTATGACTTGTACGACTGGTTTTGGGGTTATGCAACTGATGTAGGTTTAGCTATGTTGTTACATTTATTATTTAATGTATTGCAGTTAAGTTAGTTAAATTTCATTAATAATCAGTATGTGTTATGCTTACCTAGTCTTAAAGACTAGGTGCCATCACAACATCCTAAGGTGGGAAATTGAGGTCGTGACAACTTGGTATTAGAGCTCTAGGTTCATAGGTGCTACGAGTCATAAGCAGATTTGGTAGAGTCTTGCAGATCGGTACAGAGATGTACGGGCTACGAGGGAGCCAGGGATGCTCAAACAATGTCTCAACGTGTCATCCAGACTGAGGATGTGGATGTATTGAAAGATCATTCAGTTGCTCACGTGGGGGTGCAACGGGTTCTGGCGTCTGGTTGATAAGTACGAGCTTGGAAAGGTTTAATTAGATCATGAGGCATTTGGCTACCTTAAGAGAGTCATAGTTACTCCCACCATTTACGGGAAAACAAACGGCATTAGTCGGCCAATAAAATGTCACAACAAGGGGATTTTCGGACATGGCACAAGCCAAGAGTGATATGCCAATACATTGTCACAAGTAGAGGTTTTTTGAGGCATCGGGTGCGAGGCCAAGGCCTATGTTAATGGGCCGAGGTCCGCCCTGTCATTCCTATGCCAGTTGTACAAATTCAAGCGTGGCAGGCTGGGCCATGGCACGACGTCGAACATGGCAGGGCGTGGCCATGGCACAATGTAGGGCATGGCCATGGCACGACGCAGGGCGTGGACATGGCCCGACACAAGGCATGGCCAGGACGTCGAGCGAGGCAAGGCGTGGCCATGGGACAACGTAGGGCGTGGCCATGACCCAATGCAGGGCATGCCCAGGACGTCGGGCATGACCATGGCATGACATCGGGCATGGCCATAGAACAACGCAGTGCATGGCATGGCAGGGCATGTCCATGGCATGAGGCAGGGCATGGCAGGGTGTGGACATGGCACGACGTAGGGGTGGCAGGACGTGGCCATGGCCCGACACAGGGCGTGGCTGGGTGTGGCCATAGCATGACACAGGACAAGGCCATGGCATGAGGCAGGGCATGGACAGGATGTCGGGCGTGGCAGGGCGAGGCCAAGGCACGACGCAGGGCCTGGCCATGGCACGACGCAAGGCCTGGCCATGGCATGATGCATGGCCTGGAAGGGCATAGCCATGGAAGGACGTCGAGCGTGGTAATGGCACGATGCAGGATAAGGCCATGGCATGACACAGGGCATGGACATGGCACGAAGAAGTGCATGGCATGGCAGGGCGTGTCCATGGCACGACAGGGCATGGCAGGGCGTGGACATAGCATGACACAGGACAAGGCCATGGCGTGACACATGGCATGGACAGGACGTCGGGCGTGGCAGGGAGAGGCCATGGCACGATGCAGGACCTGGACATGGCATGACGTAAGGCATGGCAGGGCATAGCCATGGCATGATGCATGGCATGGCCATGGAAGGACGTCGAGCGTGGCAATGGCACAATGCAGGACAAGGCCATGGCACGACGCAGGACGTGGCCATGTAAATACGTTGCACCAAGTCGCACCATGTCGAACCATGTCGCACCATGTCGTACCATATTGCACCACGTCGCACCATTCCACACCATGCCTAGTGTTAGCCCAATGCATAGCAACATGTCAAGAGTAATTGTGCGTGGTGGTTGACGGCGGTGGTTCGAAATTGGGCGACGGTGGTGGAACGTTATGCTGGTTCGTGCGGTAGTGTACGACGACGGTTAGTTGATGCTTGGTTGTTGGCGGTTGGAATCACTTATGGTGGTTATGACGATGGAGGTGCGTCATGGTTATTGGTGGTTCCTCGTGGTTATGTTTTTATAATAATATTATGTATTTTACCTATTTTTTATTAATTCTTATGCATTTTTGTAATTTTAAATAGTTTTCCATGTTACTTTTTTATTAAAATATTTCCTCTTTTATGTGTTATATTATTACTAGGTGTATTGGAATTTTTCTCCATTGTTCTTTCTATATTTATAATATCTTTCTTAATTTTTAGTATTTTATTATATAATTTTCATTTTATAATAAATATTTTATAACAAAATATTATTTTTGGAAAGAAATATCATTTATAATGTTTAAAAGTCTTTTTTGAATGTATTAGCTAAGTTGTACTTTGGTTTGTGCAATTTGGTGTTGTACATGGCTATTATGATTCTCTCGCCAAAACATGTCTACTCCTGTCACTTGGTTATTTTTTAAGACATATATAAGGAGGGTAGAGGTGTTGAAGGCACCTCAATGTGCTTTCTGCCAGGGTGAGGCGGGCATTCATGGGGGACGCTGGCATGCGGTGTAGGCATTGGGGGCATCAACGGCTTNGCCAGACGCAGGGCGTGGCTG